GTTATTCAGTTAGTGGGGTACATTCGGACAGCACTAGATGGGGCACATTTGTACGAATTGTACAACTAAATTTGTATAATAATTTGTCGACGCGAACTGTCTTTTTCATACAAATTAAGTTTTCGACTTTCTACATATTACACTACTGTTAAGGCATCTTGACTAAGGTTGATTTTGATGCTTGTGAACCAGATGCTGTGAATAATTTACCAATCCATCAAATAGTAGTTCCTTCGAAGTCAGTTTTGACACCAGAGGCATTTCGACCCTATTCGCATTCTGTAAGAAGTAATAAAACAAGCAAAATGACGATGACGGCCAGGAAAACCACGAATTTATACTGCCACACCCGAAAATAAGAAGTTGTAATCCACACCAAAGAGTAAAAAATGTAATTCTAAATTTAAGATACCTAACTAATTAAATTTTGTTTTACATAAGAAAAGTATTTTATTTTTGTTTAATAGAAATTAAATCTTTATTTTTGTGTTTAATTTCATTGCTAATAAATGAATTTTGAACTACCCCACAGCGTAAGAAGGTACCCCAAACATTGTACGAAGGTGCCCCGTTGTGGGGCAGATTCGTACGTTTTCCAGATTTAGTTTAAATCATAATTATGGTTGAAACATCGGATGAAATCATTTGTCATTTTTTTATTTGAATCTCAGATAGTTAGACTATAAATTTAAGCTATCAGGTGATTGATTCATGGAAAAATAAAAAAATTAAAAAATAAAATGTGAAAACCGTACGAAGGGTCCCCACCTTCCCCTTATAAAATAAACAAGGCTTTTAAGCATTACTAATTCCTAGATTAGAGGAATACCCTACGGTTAATAAGTGTATCTATACACTTAAAGTAACTGCAGTGTAAACAGCGATCTGTAAGATCTTCATAACACAAGTCACAATTTTCCATACCAATTAATCTATGTTCATAGATCGGAGATCCATGCAAGGATGCGCAAACGACGTTCGTTTCTTTTTAGAAAGTGGCACGTGGCGGGGTTGTTCACCCTACGCGATCGGGGTCACGCGTCTCCCCTCCCCCCTCTAGCTGGCCCTTGATAAGGAACTCCATTGACACCATCGACGGATAAGGCGTTCCTTGCAATATAGAACGAGTGATAAGTACGATGACAGGTTTTGTTAGTAATGAACACTAGGTAGGGAATACTAGGTTTTGGTATTAACTGTATTCGACACGTATAAGTGTGTATCTGTGTAAAAGTGCAGCGTGATTTGGTCCTAGTTTAAGTTGTTCTAAGTTTTTTCGACTATTAATGGTTGAAAATATTAACTAAACGGGTTTTTGGTATCAATATTCAAATATTGACACAAACATATTTAAAAAAAAATTAAATCTGTATTCCCAAATATATTGTACCGATATATAATGTATTAAACTATTCATTGTTTTAATATTTATGTGTTTATTGAATATATTTTTAATTTCGTCAAAATATAGTATTTTGTAACCGCCTCTACCACGCCATCTACAGTCATAGTTAAAAACTAATAACACCGCTGCACAAAAATCGAGATTATGTAACGACCATGACTAATCGTATATTCTTACTCCTTCCTATATACATACTAATTAATAGTGTATTTAGAAGGTAACTAGTACGTGAAGTAACCACAGAGCAGATAAATACGGATTATGTAGCAAGTAGCATGCAAGTATGAAGCCGGGATTAGACATACATCATCTAACTTGATAAATTCAAAGATTAAACATCGAAACAAGACGTAATTTTGTAAAAGTCCAGCGAAATGTGAATACCAACTTCACGACAAGAGATGGCGCTCATTCATTCAAATAAACTCTAAAAAATGTAATATTTTGTCATCTGTCAAGTCGTGGCTATACTCACGCTGACCACTATTGCTGAAGAGCATTCGAAACTATGAGAATAATATAACTATGCGTTTAAGAAGCTTTATTTAAATGTACTTCTCTCTCTGGGTCGGTAACTCATATCTGAGTATCGTGGTCAAGTATAAAATATGGCGGGAATATTTTTCATCCACCAATTTCGGTACTGCGCTTCTTTTACAACGGTGTGTAATATTGAGGACGACTAGTTTTTGACTTTGACCAGTCCAACTCGTTAGCGAACGTCCACGCGATCTTTTGCCTTAGGTGTTGCCAATCACGGTGAGCTCTAGGTTCTCGTCCTCCCTACGCTTTGTATGACCAAAGTACGAAATGATGTGTTGTGGGCATATAGTTGATAATCGGTTTTTAATAAGGAGCTGGGATCGATGGGTGCGTTTAGCGGTCCACGATATTCTTAACATCCGCCTCCAGCACCACATTTCAAAGGCGTCAATCCTTTGCCGTTTGCCGAGATTGTCCACGGCTCCATGCAGGAAGATAGAAGTTGCTTTTGATACCAATTCGTCTCCTCTTCCTAAACGTGTCATAGCATCTTTCGCTATTCCAATTCTCCGCTGCCATGATTGCCGTAATACTTGTAGTAAGAATTATTTGTGTTAAAATGGTAGTAGAAGAGGCGGCACTGTTAATACGAACAATGTCAATCACATTTTTTTTATCTACTCAGTACATCAGTTAGATACATTTCTGTTCTATTTCATTGATTTACTACCACACAAATGACAATGCGCGATTTTGTACCGTTGTTGGTTGTACCTATCATACGCAAGAATTATCTTATTTCAGCGATCTGCTAACTTTTGCCACTTTGGAGAAACTAAATAAAAATACTATAATATTATTAATACCCTCTAAGAGGCACTTAAAGCAAGTGTAAGTGTTATTAAAAACTATTATTTTATTTAGAAATATTTAATTAAATACAACCTAAACATAACAAGCAAATATACAGTATTTACAATTTTCTGCACCTCTTGTATTTTATTTTATGTCTTTATCTTTAACAAAATAAAAAATTAACTTACTCATTAGTCATACCAAAATCAAAGTCTTTGGCTAAGACCAGATAGTAATTAATGATTGAGATGACCACCATTGAGTCAAATTTAATAATTAATATAATTGATTTTTTTCGCATATTCTGCGAGGCATTTCTTAGATAATTTGGACAATGACATTAAATACAATATATTAAATTACAATAATATAATTGTATAACTACATTATCACATTGTTAAACTACACTACCAAAAATTCCTCAACGACACCTTTTCATACCTAACCGCTTAATATATATTAAGTTTTTCCAGGATCTGTACACGGAACATAAATGTCGATCAAGAAGTATGTGGCAGTATTGTGATACAGTTTTAATGGGGATGCGCACAACCGCATAGCAACCGCAGCTGAAACTAGGCCAAATTGATTGACTTATTTTTCTATTTACGACAGCCCTGTTTGGCGAGAACAATGCAGGCTATTTGTATCACAGGATCCTTGTTATTAATGTTTCATGGTACGCAAATGTAGAGGGCAAAGTCCAACACACGTCGACGAAAGAAGAATTTCAAAATCAATTACCGTGTCATTCAAAATAATAAAGTTATAGTCATCAATAAATAAAACACTTATTACATTCAAACACACTTATAATAACAAATAAAATAACGAAGAATGACGCAGGAAACACGCATGTAAATCTTAAAATTTTCCGAATTTGTTTAAAATTTATTTTTCCCAATGACACTCAATTGGGACTACAATAATTCTTATTTTAAAAAAATATTATGAACGTCAGCAAAACAAATAATGCTCCTAAATTTACTGCCAGTTCTCAAATCAAGGCCGTGGAACGGACCAGAACTAGCAATAAACTCCGTCACTCTTAAGTCACCTTTATACAAACCGTTTGTAAGCAAAGTCAAGCATACTCATGTTAAAGCAATTACTTATTATAATTAAATATTTAATAAATAAGAACAGCAAACGTTTCACCTCTATCAGCAAGGCGTGGTAAAATAGATACATGCTCTTACTTACTGTGGGAAACGACACGCAAACACGTAGTATCAAGGTGATACTTAGATAAGGATTGGTTTTTAGGGGTCCTACGAGACTTATCGGTTTCTACGTAGCCTAAATTTAAGAATTAGGAGGGTCATGGCATTGCTCAGCGAGACGAAATACATCTTAGTCCTGTTTATCGGACCTCTAAGAGAACAAGCCCGATTTCATAAGATTCATTTATTGGCTGGAATATGCGCTTTCTGTTAAGCAAATTGTAACCCCTAGGACACGACCTAGGGATGACGTGGCAAACTTGAATAATAAGATTGTCTAATATAATTATGTGGTAAAAAAAACGTGTGTGTACCTATAACTTCTAACGCGTGTAGCGTTAGAAGTTATACTTCTCTGGTGTAACAAGATAAAAACTTTATTCTACGTTTGTAGATGAAACAACACTAACAATAGAAAAGTAATATAAGTTTTAATATAACGCATTATCTAGTTAAATAAAGTTTATTTAAATATAAAGAAGTATAACTTCAAAAATATGTAATAGTGCCCCCAACATTAAAATTTAGGTACATACATTTTATTGGTCTCGAACGTAAAATATATTTCGTCTGGAACTATTTAACGTACCTACTGTGGTAAAAATCTTGTAACGGTAATAAAACGGTATTGGGATAAATTAAAAATTAAATCACATTATATGTAAAAATTTATTTAACCAGTCTTATGTACATAATATAACTTAAATCTAATTTTTACTTATTGAATAACGAAACCACGTGATAATTAAACTTATTTTACTTAAACTAAAGAATTAGAATGAAAGAGTACCTAATGTGATGCTGATCATAACTAATATAAAACAATAAACGTTCTTATTACAAAATGTAAATTTGTCTTTTTCTTTTTAGGTTGCTAAAATGAAAAAGAAAAATCATTTATCAATTTTAAAAAAGGAATCCTCGAAAAATCTTTCTCTACTAAGGTAAAATTCTCTTTTTAAAATCGACAATTTAATTTGAAATAAGAACATGTTTTTCTACCCTATGATAGTCATAGAGTAGAAAAACTAGTGTTAGCACTTATGATGTTTCCCATCTGTACAACAAAACTCCTTGCCAGCAGAGAAATTTGTTGGATTCCATTCGCTGCCACAATTTCTGACGAAGAGGAACGCCTTCTCGCGGTGAACGTCACGCTCCACGGCGCCGCAAATCACTGGCCCAGCGCGCGGTAGGTACTTCAATATCTGTTCAAAGAATTATTTAGAAGAATATAATATTTTTTAACATCGTCAAAGAATCATTATAAACACTTAAGCAGCGGAACAGATAGTTTAATGATAATATTCGTATTGTTTTAACCAATAAACAATTGGTTTAACAGTCGGCTACTAAAGTTATTATGTAAATAAGTTCGCCTTTACTTAGAAGCCTAAAAGGGTATTTTGCTGTTCCTTAGATATTTAATTGTATAATGTCGTGAGAAATGGACGAGAATCTATGCCAAGAGTCGTGAAATCATAAAAATGGGAAAGAGAAAAAGAGGAGTCAGGAGAGACAGGTCAGGGATGGAAGGGATGATCTGCAAACGCTAAAGGGGACTGTGTGGAGAGGGCTAGAAGAGGCCTTATAACTCAGGACAAGCTTCAGGCAAACTATTTAATTCTATTTCTTCCTTACTTTTAAAAAAGTTGTTGTGGAGAAATAAAATTTTAATAATAAAAAATAGTGAGCTTTTAAGGTTTAACAGACTTCAAACCCCACCTATATACTTGGGAATTGACATAAATAACGCATCCTGAACTTAATACATAGGAAAGCGGTATCTAGCTGTAATTGCAAGACTAATTGAAATGGAAATCTTCGAAGGAAATGCAATGTTTACGACGTTTTATTGTCTGTCACTTTCTAAACAAATAAACTATCGATGAATAGGTGATTACCGTTCTCATCGAAATATGTGTATTCTGGTAATAGAAAATTAAACCATACACACATTTAAATTAAAAATAGGCATTTTTCGGTTTGGACAACAGCACAGTATAATTTTGGAGTGCTATAATTTTTCTTAACTTGCTTAGAATCTGCATGTGTTTCTTATTAATACCTAGGCCTATTTTACAAGAAACAACGGCGTATTCCGCTTGTGCGTGCGCATTTCTTTGACACATCTCATATTTCGTACATTTGCCTTCCAAGGCACAACTTTGTTTATCGTTTGACATCCTAATCACCTCAATCCTCCTACTTTTGGCGTATAAGTTATTATATTATTAGAAGCTTTATGCATATTTTTAAGTAAGTTCGAATATGATTCTAATGATTGACTGAATCTGTATTGATACTCACCACATCAAGACAAGTGCTGATGCAGTGTTTGAAACCGATGGATCCACAGGGTAGGCTGGGCCCATCGGTGTCGTATGTAACAACCGGTTCTCCGGTGGGTGGACCCTTGGGTTTCGTGCGACGACCGTCCTTGAAGCCCATTTGTTGGGACATAAACACACCACACTGGCACGGCTCTAACTGGAAACAGGAGATTTACCAGGACTGGTTATTCACTGGTAATTTGGTAATACACACAGTAAAAAACATATTGGATTTGATAAACGGGAGTCCCTCCATTCCGACTCTTACCCTAACGTTATAATGGAACTAAATTAATAATACGATTTGCTGTTAATACAATATTAAAAAAGTAAAAGATTTAAATTTAATATTTACTATGAAAAATGTATTCTAAAGTTAGTATTACATCTTTTATTCGTGTTAAAAATATACATAAAACACATCGATAATCGAAAAAATAAAAGCAAAGATTATCTACTTTTAAATTACCAAAATGCATTACCTCATAGTCTTCATCTCCCGTGGACACGTCATCATAACTATTAATAATTTCCTGGTGGTCTCGCTTCAGCTTCCGCCTGGCATCTACAGATACAAACCACAAGCAAGCCACCAATATAACAAACCGCTGGATTCCACCCATCGTAATCTAAATGTAACATTATATTCATAATCAATAATTATTACTAACTGGCAATATGAGAAATGAGAAAAGACAAATAAAATATAAAGTTAGAGGTATTGGGTATATTCTTCAACAGTTTACAAATTTTAAAAATACGTATTTTAAACACAGAAGGCTGCTTATTTAATTAATCAATAAAACACGCAAAAATAATTATGTCATATTCGGGAATATAAAAAATTGAAAATTCAACTTACGTATTCAGTAACTATATCACTTGTACAATTCCATATTAATGATTGATGACACTTGGTGGCCGACTATTTAAATTGATTTAAGACGGGTCATAACACTGTTGCTGGGTCAGCAGAATGTAATACGTGCTCTTTTAAATCTAGATATGCAACGTATTCACAAATACCTACGTTCTATATCGATAAATAGATCTTTAACTAGGATATCTCTGATTTCTAAAACACGTGTCCAAATCTTAAATAAGCATATATTTTTTTTGTATACTTTAAAAAAAACAAGCATTCCATCCTTCCTTCCATCTTATATCCGATATCCAGATTGAGCATTCTGGTTAACGCGCTAGGTCTGGATATCCATAGTTGCTTCCCTCATTGAAATCAATTTTCGTTTAGTTTTTATAATAATTCATGTATCGATGTTTGTTTCTCTTCATTTTGTTTGTTTGTCAGAGAAATAAACATTGATACATAAATTTTCCTTCAGTTTTTATAATTTATGTATCGATGTTTGCTTCTCTTCATATTTGTCAATAACTTCTTGTCACATTAAATCTTGTAATTTTCTTTATGAGCGTTAACAAGCTTTTGTAAATAAATAAATACATAAAAATTACATAGATTTAATGAAATAAACCTGTATATACTTAGCATGTAACACTCTCGCATTCTAATGATGAAAAAAAATTCTATAATCTAGTAGGTATAGATGAAACTTTAACAGTTATATGTAAAATGCAACGAAGCAATCTACATTTATTAACCTTGATACATTTCCGTTTTTTTAACCGACTTCAAAACAACTGAAGGATGTTATGTATTCGAAAATTTTGTAATTTTTTATGTATGTAACTCTATGAATTCTATAATAGCTTTCACAATCAATAAATCTAGTCTGCATGTAGTCATTATCGTTATTATTTTATTATAATAACGAATAAGTCATATTTTTGTTTAACTTACCACTCGTAGATACAACGAGTCGTTGAACTATTTAAGAAACACGGATTATACCATGATTTAAGTTTTCGTTTACGTCGCTTAATGTCATGTCAAGTATATGCAGCTCGAACGTATATATTTTCCATATACCAAATGGTATAGTTCCAATCAAACGATGAATGTTTGTTTGTTTATGATCACTTGTACGTACGGAATTCTAATCAAAATTTTTATTATAAAGAACTATTGTATTTTACATGTTATTCCTACAAAGGGTAGTTTTTTCTATATACAAATCTACGACTCGTAGTATGTTGGATTTAGAACCCCAGCGAAAGATACCTGTTTTTGAAAAAGTTACCTTATATTCGAAACTACTTAGTTTATTAATGTGTATAACAAATAAAAAAAAGAATCAATTCCATAAATTAATTTTATTGGAAACACTTCAAGCATTCCAGATAAAATACAAAATTCATTGTACTTAAACATAACATGGTATTAAAAATGCAACATATAACATAACAACCCTCAATAATACTGCCATTGCATAAAAAGCGATTTAAACTTAACTTAAGATATTCGATTACCGGAGGAACAAAGTAAACATTAACGTTATTAGAACAAGACAAGCAAAAGTTATAAATAGCCCGCTTAGCAATAAGTATGTTTAAAAAAATCATAAATAATAAACATCTCAAACAAGAGACAAAAGCGAATCCAAGTTTTTTTTCATTGAATACCATCGGTTCCAAATTCAAATTTGTACCGAATACCCAAACCCAACTAGGAGATTGACATATTATAAAACGCAGACTAATGCGTCAGATATTATAAACTTACTAGGAGCGCTGTAAGCTGTTCCATAATATATTTGTACGTATTTTAACTTAGCGGTTTAATATTTAATTAATATCTATTGACTTTACTTTAAAGAAAATATAAAAAGTATTGATTTGTAATAAATACAATTTATGGTATTCTAAACATAACTGACACTATTTTAGTAGTTTGATGAGGTAAATCCGATGTAGTTTATGTTAAATAGAATTAATAAAGTTTTCACCTAAACATTAGAAGTGAATCTTATTTATATTTTATTATATACTCAACCTATAATTGGACATTTTTATTTGGACAGGCCATATTATAAATCTCAAAGTTTGTTAGCCATCAAGGCATGCCTTAATCATTCAACAAGCTACCTTGATTATTTACAAACAAAGATGGTACTCTTAAAAGGTCTATTCTATAATAAAACAAATTATGTATATAATATTACACCTGAAATATAAAGGTTTATTATTGTGCATATTAGAGAAACCTTTTAAAGAACAAATATTGTACCCTATATACCACAGATATACTGGATATCTTGGTATAACTGTAACATAAGACCAAAAAATTGGTGTTTAAAATTGAGTTTTATAATTAGAACGAATGAATAATTTAATGCTTTATAATTTTAAACATCTTCAAATAATCCATAGACATGTTAAATGAGCAATTTTATATATATTTAATTAATTATAGATATATTATATTTCTAATACAATCACAATATTAATGTAAATTACTATAAAATAGTAGATGCTTCAAATATTCCTAAAATTCATTAAACTCTGACTTACTATAGAGTTATTAAAACAAGACATATAATAAAATTGTACTCAGTATTAGGATTTATGTTCATTGGCACTTATAAAGTGAAATACAACATTGGTGCGATAATAACAAGACAAGTAGTAGTTTTATACATAGTCGCTAAATTCCATAAATTAAGTCCCTAAAAATAAATAGTATGTATAATAATAGCTCCTAATTTATTTTTAATTCAACTTTGATTTTATTTTTATAGGACAAATTACTGTATATACATAAAAGTTGGCTTATCAACTATAATGTCAAATCACTTTACAAATAAAATAAATTACATAAATCTATTATCTCACAAGTCCTTTGTTAGCATTAATTTAGCTTCACCTTCAAACACAACCTTTTTCTCCTCCTCTACGACACAAAAGAATTTTACTTTTAATAATTTCCGCACATCAACCAATTCTACACTGATTGTAAGTTTCTCACCTACAAAACACTTGTTTGGAAACTTCATTGTTTGCGAAACCAAGATGGTGCCTGGTCCTGGCAAATGAGTGCCGATGAGACCAGCAACCAAACCATTTAGAAATGCACCATGCACTATTGGCCTTTTATTTCCATTATTTTTATGTAAATAGTTATGATCACTTGTGAGATTCGAGAATGTATCAAGGTCCTTTTGGGTTAAGGTTTTTTGTATTCTTATTTTGTCACCAGCTTTAAATGCGGCTCGGCTAAATGATGTTGTGTGTAATTTACATATTTTTTGATAATTTTTATTATTGACTGCAATGTAGGGAAACCTGTTTGACAGCATCCTATTCATGACTTTTTCTGGGTCTCTAGAAATATATGTGCAAGATTTGATATTACTTTATTTTCTGATGTTCTTAATATTTCAATTTGACGAATAACTTGGGATTCGTTCGAAATTGATGTATTGTTATAAATCTGTATAAATGTAGTTATAACATCTGCAACAGTCTCACTGTGTGTTGACGTCAACAAATTTTCCAGAGGTTTGACTCCATCATGTTCCATCAAATATTCAACATTCAGGGGATCTGAAAATTCATATAAAGCATCAAAAACACTGAATATCAGAATTATCTCAAAACATATTTTGTTTAGTTTTTGACATAGTATAATATGTATGATACCGAGTAAATTATATTCTAATTCACAATTAATCTTAAAAGCAATTAAATATTGGAGGGAAAGATATGCATAAAAACTAAGTTTATGCTTACTAATGTAAGAGATTTAGTTCTTAAATAGCTTTAGTTTTATATCCTAACTAGTTGAAATTCATGTCAGTTGTTTTAGTTAACTAAGCTGTTTTTCTGCTTATATAAAAAAAAATATTTGGGATATGGATTACAGGCTTTAGTGACTCTTGGGGTTCATGCAAATAAGGTCTTAATTTATAAATATGTGTAATGACAAGTAAATATGACTCTTGTAACTAATTATAAAAATAAAAATAGGCACAAACCTGAACATAAATTGCAAATCCCAGCTGCTGCAAAATGTAGCAATTGGGAGTTAGCTTCATTTTTTATAACATATAAAAATATGTCATAAACACCAACATCGCGAATAAATACGAAATTGATCGGGTCATAAGCAAAATTAGCCAAATTTGCAAGTACTTGGCATTTAGCATCTGAAAATGTAAAGCACCAATTCATTATCGTTTCATCCAAATCATAAATAGTTTACATAATGACAGAAATATAAATATTTACCAACAGAATTTGAATTTAAATATTCATCCACTAATATTGATAAATAACTTTCACGATCAGTTCCATTTTCTGGGGTATGCTTCTTCAAGTATGATAAACTTGTAAACATTTGATCTCACTTCGTCTTTAGTTTTCTTCTATTTAATTAACAAAGATATCTTTTACGGAATTTACTGATTTTCAAAAAAATTTAACAAAACACAAATAGTTATTTTATTTTAGCAAAAATGAAAAGGTCACTGTTGTCACATGTCAATTGTTAATATGTCAAAAATGAAAAAACCGATCTCCTACTTTCCATGGTCATATTACACAACACATATTGACATTTCTTTTAACATCTTGACATGGACATGGAATTTGGAGGGGGATTTTTTTTATTTACGAAAATAAGATTTTCTAGGCATAAGGGGACCCCATTTTGAGTGATTTTAAGGTTATAGTCTAACTATAATTATTGGCTAATTGTGTTCAGAATGCATTTTTGTACCAAATAATAGAGAAAATAGATTTCCGTACTAGAAATAGCAATCATGGCGTCTCTGCTAAATATTACCGGTAAGAAAAATTGGTTATTTATATTTTATCTCCCGTATGGTTAAATAGTCTTAGGCAATAATATACTTGTTTAATTTACAGGATTAACAAACAAAAACTTGTTTGTGGTTGATTTTGAAGAGCCATACTCTGAAAAGGCTGTAAGAGATGAATCTACACCAAACATTAGAAGTATTATTTACAGTCCTAAAGGGAACTATTTGGCCTATAGAACAGATAAAAAGTATTTTTTTTTTAAAAACATTAAGAAATCTATCCATTTACCAGCTAAGCTTTACAGTTTCACTCTGCATTTACTTGTAACTATTTAAGAACTATAAAGCAATTTTGTATATCAAAATTTTTGTATCTAGTTTTTTATTCTTTTTACAAGCTAATCTATATTTTATAACTTCGCCATTGTTGAAACATATTCAATATCTATCGTAGTTTTAGATAAATAACTCAATAAGTGTTATATATCATGCTAAATATAGGTAGTTTATATTTCTGAGTTTGCATATTTAGGATGTTTCACAAATTACAAAATTAGCAAACACAAAGGCTATAAAAATAACCTTATGTTGTAGAGTTGAGATCCTAAAATGTGAAGACTGGTCAGTAACAGCAACTATTGAGGGCAACATAAAGGATATGTTCTTTTCTCCTTTAGACACTTATTTTGTATCATGGGAGATGTTTTTCACGACTAAGGATAACCCACAGGTGAATTAGCATTAAAATTTGTATTATTGTAAGCTGACAAACTTTATTGTATGGAATAGGACTCTTTCAGTAGTGGTTTTGTTTATTGGTTTAAGTATAAATAATAATACATACTATAATAAACTTGTTTTTAACAGTTACAAATAAAAAAAATAATATACAGGCTAAGTAACAGTTAATCTATACAGTTGAGAACATCAACAACCCAATTTAAGTAAAACTTGCCTTAATATAATACTATAGTCATTTAAAATACTTACCTATTATATATTTTATTTTTATAGGGTAAACCAAATCTTCGTGTTTTTAAAACTGAGAGTGGAGAAAACATTGGCTCATTTATACAAAAAAATCAAATTGGTTGGTGAGTATTGAATGTAAAATTTCACAAAAAAGACACCATTTATAAAATTCCTACTGCCATTATGTCAATATAATAAAAATCTAATATTTTTAAGAATTTTAAATGAAAATATTCATCTCTGAACCCGGAGATAAATCTCTATCTCTATGGAAATCCCTCAAAATGTTGGCATTACCCCTATAAGTTTCATCCAGAGCAGATTACACATTTCTATATATAAAATGATATTTACAGGCAACCAAAGTGGTCATCAGATGAAAAGCTTTTTGCAATTCATGCTAGTAATAGAATCCTGATATATGAAGATGCTAAATTGGATCGCTACACACATAACATTGCAGCTGATAAACTTCAGGCCTACAGCATATCACCGAGCCCAGCACCAGCTTATTATCTCTCTATATTTACTATAGGTATGGACTATGGTTGTTTGAATTTTCATATTAAAAATAATGCAAGAAATTATATAATATAATTCAGTATGACTTATGATTACTAAACTGATTGAATCTAGTTATAATTATTAAAAAGTATAATTATTATTTATATATTCGGCTTTTTCAAGGTATCATAATGATAAAACAATTTTGATAATTTATTTACTGTGTGTGGTTGTATTTTTAATTTATAATTTGTTGGGTAATTGATAAGGTAATTACATAACGTATGACATCAGTGTCATCATTTCATGCCACACTTCATACACTTAACTAATATTTTTTTTAATTTAAAGGAGTTACCCCCCGAGAGTGTTAAGTTCCGGCTGTCAAAACACGCACACGTAATAGTAGTCGCTCCAGACGAATACTCAACAAAAATACAGAAAAACTATGAAAAACGTAGTGTACTATCACAAAATAGGTTAAAAGTAATAGTGGCATTTCTTCTAAATATAAAACATTGTGTGAAGTGACGCATTAAACATTAAGATCTTGTGTTAAACTCGTGAAACTTTGAAGGTTATTTGAGCCGACATAATACTTTGACAATCAATATTAGTTAAAGTGGCACTATTGATATATACCAAATTGCTGCCATAATTAAAAAAGTACAAGCTACCAACGACTAAGTTCCGATTCGTGATCGTAAAGAATGGATCATAATCTTATAGCACTTTTTTGATGACATGAAGATAGAAATGCAAAAACAATCGAATTTAATTATGCAAAAAATGGAGGAGAAACTAAACCCTTTAGTAAAAGCAATAACAGACTTGAAATCCGAAAACATGAACCTACGCGAGAAAATTGATAATTTAGAGCGCGAAAACCGTAAAAAATAATATTATAGCCTTTGGATTTAAAGAGGAAGAGATTTCAAAACAAAATCTAATAGAAATAGTCACTGAAATGATTCGATCAAAAATAAATATAGATATCGGCCATAACGACATCAATAATATATACCGCCTAGGAAAAAAGGGGGTAGATAACGAAAAACCAAGACCTGTTATCATCTCTCTTTTACATGCTTGGAAAAAAGAACAAATCATGAGAAATAAGAAAAAGCTGCCCGGAATCTATTTAAATGAAGACTATCCTAAAAATGTACTAACTAAAAAGAAGGGAACTCCAACAACAGTTGATAGAAGAAAGACAGAAGGGAAAATATGCAGTATTGAAATATGACAAACTCATCATACGGGATAGCATACAAACAAAAAGAGAAACGCAAACGCGAGCGTTCTATGTCAATTTCACCACCAAAATACGCCCAAAAGAGCAATTTGCAACCTACAGCAACAACAAAAGCAAGCAGGTCAAACGCCTTTTGACATGATGCGAGGAAGAAGTAACTCTCTCACCACCCCTACCCTCACATCAAAACAAACATAGGAACTCGACAGCCGGATAAACAAAGAACATAAAAATATAAGTAAAACATTTAGAAAAACATTCCCCAATCCGGCTGGTCCCCGTGGGGAATCAGACCAAAACCCTCTAGCAACAAACAAAAAACAAACAAGAGTGTTGAAAATTGGAACTTACAATGTGAGAACTTTAGCATTAACAGAAAAATTGATAGAACTTGTGCACTCATTGAAAAATATTCAAATAGATGTATTAGGATTAGCAGAAGTCAGAAAAATGGGATTTAATATAGAAGAACATCATGAACACATCCTATGTTACATGGGAAACACACCTGGATTATATGGAGTTGGGTTTCTTATCAGTCGAAAACACAAAGCCAATATTATCGAGTTCACTGGTATATCTGAACGGGTAGCCCTGCTGCGCATGAAATTTGGAGAACACTGCATATCACTCATCCAAGTCTACGCACCAACCGAAGAAGCAGATGAAATTGAAATCAATAAATTCTATGAAGAACTTGAAAAAGCCCATGAAACACCTGACAAAAATGTATTGATTTTAGGAGATTTCAATGCTAAAATTGGTCAACCCAAACATAAAGAAAAACTTATACTAGGCAATTATGGTTATGGCAAGCGTAACCAGAGAGGTGAAAGACTAATCCAATATGCCTTTGAACACAAGCTCTGTATAATGAACACTTACTTTAAGAAAAAACTTAGTCGTAGATGGACCTGGATTTCGCCTAATGGACAAACAAAAAATGAAATAGATTTTATAATGAGTAATCACCCCAAGTGCATAATAAACATAGAAATTATAAATAAAATAGATTTTCCATCTGACCATCGATTAGTCAGAGCCTCTGTAATACTGACAACACCAACTTTATCAAGAAAGAAATTTGTAATGTTACCAAAATCTCCTGAAACCGACAATGAAAAATCAGAGTATTTGAAGAACCTAAGTGATAATATTAATACCCGCCTTAAAGAGATATATAATAATAATGATGTTCAAACTTACTATGACGCCCTAGAATTAATAATTAAACAAAGCCTAAAAATAGATAAAGACCACAAAACAAATAAAATAATTAGCAAATCTACTCAAAAACTAATAAATGAACGCTCAATTTTAATCAAACAAAAAATTAAAAACAAGGAAGATAAGATCAAACTTAAGAATTTATTCAAAGCAACAAATAAAGCCATAAGAAAAGATTATAAAAACCACAGAAAACATATTTTAGAAAAAAACCTAAAGCAATATCGAAGTACGAAGAGGGGGCTTAAGGAGCTAAACACACACAAAAATTGGATAACAAAACTAGAAAATGGACACAGAGAAATGAAAACTAGAAAAGGAATCATGGAGTGTGCTACTGAATTCTATAGAAACCTCTACGAACATCAGGATGACAGAGCAGTTGGCCCAACCACCAAGAATTCGGAGGAAATACTACAAGCCATTGATGAACAAGACGTACATAAATATATTTGCAAACTAAAACCTGACAAAAGTCCAGGACCTGACTATATAACTAATGAGGCCATAAAAATCGGAGCACCAATACTAACTAGTATCATAACAAAATTATTTAACTTAGTGCTGGAACAAGGCTATGTCCCTACACAGTGGTGCCACTCAGACATTGTGTTACTA